CTGAGGCTGGAGCACCAAGGGTAGCAGTGGTAGAGACACTTGCTTGGCTCTTCTCACGCCCAACCAGCCGCTCAGGATTAAACAAAAATGCAGCGCGCGCGGCACTCCCAGGTACCTCAAAATGTTTTTTTACCCTGTTGTTGTGGGGACAGGGATGGAGGAAAAGCGGGAGCAACTCAGATGCTGTTGTTTGAGATGGTGCTGGCGAGAGGCGCCAGTGCCAGTTGGAACCATGAAAGCTATGGAGGCCAGAGAAGCGACTGAAACACTGCTGGCAGACATCCACGACGCCCGCCCGCTGAGCCGGCCTGCAACCAGCACCATACCTGAATCTGCAGCAAAGGTGCTTGGCAGGGGTAAGGAGCCCTCCGCCATGATCGGCCATTAGGAGCGGCTGGTGGCAAGGCGTGGCTGCCCGTGGGGCACTCATAACAGCAAGTCCCCCCCACAAATTTCACATGTTTTAAAATAGGCCTAAATTTGGGGGGAGGGTCTTAATTTCATTTTATGCCTAGAAAATATGCTGGGTCTTCCTATGGGAGGCCGTATTCTTGGAGAAAAACAGTATTATGTCTCCAGCATTTCACTAGTCACTTTGTCAAAGAATGCAATATGCCATGATTTGTTTTGACAAACCCATGTTGGATCCTAATAATAGCTCTGCTTGTTTCTAGATGTTCATAGATCCATGGTTTATCTTTTCTAAATACTAATTATGCTACTTTGTGGAACTCATGCAGGTACTGAATTGTTTTGTTCAGGCTGGCCCTGTATAGGTAGATTTTTTAAAACTAATACACTAGTCCTAAATTTGAGCAAAATTGATTTTAAAATGTGAAAAACATGCGTACTACTCAATACTTTTAGATACTTCGGAGTATTTCCAATGTAATCTAAGTGCTTCTTCATCCCACCCACAAGACTACAAAGAAAACACAACCCCATAGATATTCTGAAAAACATCTCATTCTTTTCAGAGCGTATTTCTGAGAATATAGTACACAACTAAGTACCAAAATCTTGCACTAGCATAACAGGGCCAGACATATTGGGCAGGAATAGTCACTTTTGATAATAGACTATTGATTCTTCTGCAGATTAAAAAAAAACCCAATTAGCTTCTTTAAAAATGATTCAGTGTACTGTATATGTTCACTTTTACAAGAAACAATTATTTTATTACAAATCCAGTATTTCAGACATAGAAAACACTTAAGTACCACTATGAGAATTTACAAGGAGAGGAAATCTGAACTAGGAACTGACTGCCTTGCTCAAAAACATGATAGTTTTAAGACAAAATACTGTATGTAATAACTTCCAGTTGCTCCTAAATAGAATGGAAGATGAAGTCCACTTGGAAGACATTATACACCTACTTCTTCTTCCCCAATACAAAATGGGATTTTCTTTTTAAAAAATGCTGAATCAATTATATTATGAAGTAATAGCAAAAATGCCCCTAAATATTTCTAAACTAGAATCCACCACTTGTTTTGATCATGGAAGTTTTGCCGTTTTAAAAGTTCATGCATAAGAGCAGATTTGTTTTTTACACAGCATTTAAATATTTACAATACTACAAGTTATAGAGGACATGAGGTATGAAATGTATCCATGAAAGTATAAACAATTTTATTAACAAATACAAATTTACTTTCAAAGCTAATTTCTCACATATCTGGAAAAACATATGTTGATGAAAGATTTCAGATTAAGTTTACAAACCTACGTATTAGATATTTCAGATAATCACTGGATTTGTATAAAACATTTAGCCGTCTTTTCTGCAAAAAAGTGTGTTTTATTTCCTCTTAATAGGAATAACAAATGTAATGAAAGCTAAAAAAAACTAGACTTAGGAAATTATATTGCATTTGGAGTCCTGCAGTAATGCATTGCTTCCTAGAAACTTCAATGAACTGCCCTTGTTGATATTTAGTTCTTAAATTAGCTCAATAGGTTGTACAAACTTTACAAAAATGGCAATAAAGCTTTTAAAAAGTTCATTAGTCACTTTGAAATCATTTATAATTTTAGAAGTCAGAATTACAGCTAATTTGAATCCTAACCTATGTTCCCATTTGATATCAAATTGAAACAAATTTCTGAAACTAGAAAGACTAATTTAAAAAAAATGCCAGTATAGTTTAACCACTAATATTAACTGTGAAAACAAAATTGTTCTTTTGCTTTCATATAAAATATACAGCCAGCTAGACCAATTCAAGGGAGGCACCATTTCTTCTATTTCCCTTCTCAGGAACCAAACTAACCAAAATCTAAACACCTTAATATTCTGACTCAAAAAATAACATAAGCCTGAGTTATTTAGCCTATAAAGCATAATGGAAAAAGGATTTTTTTTCTATTTTCCTTGAACACAATTGTTGTAGTTATGCCTAGAACTATTTAAAAAAAAAGCTGGTATAGGACATATGTTGTATCTGGCATATATTTAAAAATAGCCCTGCTGAATCAAACCAGAAATCTCCCTAGCTCAGCATGTAGTTTTATGGTTATCAATTAAATGGGGCTGGGAAGACCAAAATCAATAGCTTTGTCTTGTTATGATGGCCAAAAGAACACTGCCCATGAAAAGAAAAACCACACAAACCAAGTTAATAACTACCCTCTAAGGAATTTAACTTTTTAAAGGCCATTTAGTTATTATTGACATGTATTGTGACCATGAACTATGAAGCTGTTTTTCCCCCTAATTTTTCTTTTAACAATTCCATGGTATTTCAAGTTTAAAACTATGAGAGAATTCCCTCTGGATATGCTCATTATGCTCCTCCCTATTACCTACCTGTTCCCCCCCCCCATTACAACACTCCATTCTTTAGTTACCCCCAGACATGTGTGCTTCAGTCTTTCATGCATGTTGATTGTCTTATTGTGCTCTTCCAAAATAGGACAATCAAAACTGTAAAACAAAAAATATTGAAGTCATTCCCAGATATAATGTATCTTAGTACAATACCAATAATAAATATCAAATCAGAGCATCATTGGTTTTCCTTACATAAGGAGTTCCTTGAAAAAAAGTTTTCTAATTTCTCAGACTGCATCTTCCAATAAATAAATTCAGCCATGAATGTAAATGGTAATAAAATATAGAAAATAAGTAGATTCACTGTTCTAAAAAGTGGGGAAAAAAATTCTTTATCGAAGTCAAGCTTACAATAACATCTTTTGTTAGGTAAAATATCTTGCTCTTAAGTATCTTCAGTTAGCAGTAACTACTGACAACCTACACATTTTATTTTAAATGTAGACACGTTACCTTTCATCCAAGAAATACTAGTATCCTAAATCACACATTTTGTTGCATCAATCCAAAACCAATCCTTTAATTTGCTTCAGAGTGCTGCATGCCTGATAATATAATCACTTTTCTCTCATAGCCGTGGAAAGCTAGCATGGCTTCTGCTTTCCTTAGCCTACTCATGTCTAAATCATGTGCTATGTGATGCCTATCCTCAGTAGATGGCATCTCATCCCTATCTATAACCTCAGAACAGCTGAATTAGGCTTCTAAGTAACACTATTTAGAATAACAAAACATAGGTGGTGCTAAAGTTGTTACCTCAATATCAAATAGTTCAGCTTACAGAATATAGAAAATTGCATCTGCAAAGCAGGCTCCTAACCTTCTATTAAGCAGACTCATGCACAGAAGCCTTTTCTCACAGGCTGTGCTCATCACTACCAGGTTGGGAGGTAACCAAGATTAACTAGAAATGCACCAAAATTCTACAATATAGATATGCTATGCTTTAAATTGCACTAGAGTATATCATGCAATGAAGAAAAGTGAATATTGTAAAAAATTTTCTACTGAAATGTTTATTTTTTACTGTACAAATATTTAAACATTTTGGTTGAAATTCAAATGAACAGTTTTATTCTATGTTGTACAGTCCTCTAAGTATTTTATCCAATGTAAGCATCTAAGCAAAAAGCAGAATTTTTAGGTGAATGACATGGCATGTAAAAAAGGGTCAGGTATTAGTTCAAAATATACAGAGTTGCTGTAAAGTGAAAAAAAAAAGTTAATACAAATTCTCAGTACAGTAAAATATTGGATAACCATAGAAAGAAATTCTTAGGTGGTGGTTACACACTACCAACAGAAAAAGTATGATTAATGTTATCAATACTGTACACCGGTAATGGTATTGTTGTAGTGTATGTATGGTACTATAAAGCATCTGGGATTACAGCCTCAGTTTTTATGCACTGAGGTCCATTTCACGTGCTGGATGCCAGATAATACCACCCATTCTTTGGGGATTAGTGTATAGCAGTCTGAATTACATTAAAGGGTAACTCCCCTCAACCACAGCCTACATATTACTTTTAAGGTCGGCAGCAGCTAACGGGTGTGGCGAGATAGAAGCCGGCGTTTTTATGTGTTTTTTTGTTGTTGTTAAAGAAGCGGCTCCTACATTTTTACCTATATTGCGCTTTTCTAGTGGACTCGTCGTAGTAACTGGAAGAACCGAGAGGTAGTAGTGGTGGCGGTTGGAGGAGAGCACGAAGGCTGCTACCTAGAAAGCTCGCTGAGGAGGTGGGGGATCTTGCCCATTTGGGAGGTTTTGCACCCCCAGCCTCGCTTCGGGAGAGGCGGCGGGTGTGCGATAAACGGCCCTTCGAGGTAAGGAAAGCTATATTCCTAATCCGCGCTCCAGCAAAACGACGGAAGATTTTAGGGAGGCTTCCATCAGAGCGCATTCACAAGAGGAACAGGGCCATCCGACCACCTTCTCGGCCACCTCCCCCCCCCCGCAGGCAGAATACCTGTGTCCGCTTACAAGCATTCCGCACCCGCACCCCCCCTCCCGCTGCCCTTCGCCGGGCTCCCCCGCCTCGCTTCCACCCTCGAGGAAGAACTTCGCTCCCCGCGCTGCCAAAAATGCACCCTCGCCTTTCAAGTCAGGAGCAGCAGATCCCCGCCCACCCTTCGGCGTTCCCTCCGACCCGCCAACACTCACCTTCTAGAAGCCTGGTGATAAGACTGTCCACATTCAGCTCCCCGTCCGCCATTTTGTAACCAATGGACTCGTCCCGGGCGTCAACACAGAAGGCGCTTCACCGAGGCGGCGTCGGCGAAAGCAACAGCTCCTTCTCAGATCCCTCCCTCCCGGCCGCGGCTCCAGCCCTTCCAAGCGCAGCCCCCGAAAGCGCCCAGCCCAACGGGGACCCCCGTCCTACTTTCTCTTTCCCTAGCGCCGCTGAGCAGGGAGGAGGGAGGAAAGAAGGAGACGAAAGCGATACCGCCGCTCCTCCTCCCCGCTCTCCTGCCTGGTTTTAGGCCTCTCCGCGCAAGCGCCTTTCGTTCCTTTCCACAAGCGCGCGCCTCTTGTCAACAACTGCGCGGGAGTATCAGGTTCTGCTCCGAAAGGCTGAAGCGGCTTTTAGGCCACCTCCCCCAGGAAAGCCTGCGCAAGCGCAACAGGCTCAAGGGCCGCCACTCATGGAGGCAACTTGTTTTGGACTACCTTTCCCCCTTCTTGCCCTCGGTTTTAATATCCTAGTAACGGGAAGGTCGGGCCTGAGTTTTAAAACATCGAAGTGGAGTTGTACTTAGCTCCTACAATGCCTACTTGCTGCAGTGGAGCTTATAGTTTTTCAATAGTCCTTACTCTAATTCCAATTTTTTTCGGAAAGAGGTGTTAGTCTCGGTAGAGGCAGAATCGCAGCTGTTGATTCGGTTTGATCGCTCAAAAACATGTTCTTTGTTGTGGGTGTTCCCCCCCCCCCCCCCCAGTAACTAATATTCCTTACCCTTAATGTATTTTCAGAGAGAAGGAGTTTTGAATAGGGTCTTGTTTTCTGGTCTTTCGAAAGATAACTTATACTCGGAATGAAATAATCCTGGCTTCTCGGGAGAATGGCTCAAAAGTTGAGGCACTCTTACATGGGCGCAAACTTAACTGAGATGCTTTGGATGAAACCTTGGTTAAGTAGAAAACGCTCTTCATGGGCTCGCTACAAAATCTTAGATGTTTGAAGTTCAAAAGTGGAAACTTATTTGCTTTATTAGTAAAATGCCGCATGCTCTTTTTACTGGAGTACCAAGTAAAGCTTTATTTCAAGGCTTCCAGTTGTGCAACAACTGGTTGGGACTGCTGTGCATAATGAGGATCGGTAGGTGCTTGTGTTCTTCCCTATAAGCTATGGAAACATCTAGTATTGTGTAATGCCACTCCTGCACATGATATGAGCAATTTATACATTTGAAGATTTTCCACCATTCTTAAGACGTAGCAAATCTGATACACTTTTTCACTCCACCTTTTTCATGGATTTAAATAGTTTTGTAGTTTTTCAAATGACCTTATCAAAATTCTGCCTTAGTACAGGATGGATAACAGGATGCATTTTCTAGATGGGCAGCACAGCTTTTATAAAAACAGTTATATTTTCTATTGCAAAAAAGTAATAAGGGTGAGTATAAGAAATCGTTAATTTTAACCAAAAAACAGGTACAAATTATTTCAATCAAATTTTGGAGAGTTTAAGAAAACCCATTTTACAGGAAAGTAACATTAAAATGTATTCTAGAATCCTAGAAAGACGCCATTTAATCCATGAGTCCACCCACTGTCCAATAACAATAGTTATTCTTTTTTTTTTTGGAAAACACTTTTACTGGTTTTTTTCAAAACAAACAAAACATAAAAACTTCAGCTCTCTTCCATACATATATACAAACTGTGTCGGTTGGTTCATCAATTTTGTGCATTCATTTCGTAGTCTCAATTACGGTTATGTTACATAATAACTCTTATTATCAATCCAAACTTATATGTCCTCATATCATTATTAAAAAATCATTTGACTATAATTTTATTCATTCATACTTTATGAGATAACTATAATTTAGGTAATTTATTCTATAACAAATCATATAATCATACCAAACCTATCCTAAAAATCACTTTATAGATATGATGTCAAATAACAAAAGAAAAAGAAAAAACAAAGATATTCCTTATTATCTAACATTCTAAATATTCTATTATTGTATTATATCATCCAACCATTGATAGAAAAGGTCCCAAATTTTATAAAATTGTTTATCTTCTTGCTCTCTAATTTCAAATGTCAATCTACTCATCTCAGCACATTCCAATAGTTTCTTAATAATTTCTTCCTGCAATGGAATTTTCTCATTTTTCCAATTTTTAGCAAATACAATCCTAGCCGCATTTACAATCAGATATTTCAAGTCTTTACTATATGCATCTGGTAAGATTCCCAATAAAAAGAACTTCGGCTTCAAATCTATGTGTTTCTTTGTCATTTTTTCCAACCACATGCGGATTTTAATCCAGTATTTTCTAGCATCTTCACAAGTCCACCACATATGGTAATATGAGCCAGGTTTCTGATGACATTTCCAGCATTTTTCAGATTTATTCTTGAACATTCTTGCTATCCTTGTTGGGGGGGAAATGCCACCTGTAAAACATCTTATACAGATTTTCTTTATAAGCTGTTGACATTGTCATTTTATAATTTTGCGACCATAATTTTTGCCATTTCTCTAAATCGATCCCATATCCAAAATTCCTCCCCCAAGCAATCATAGTTTCTTTAACTTGTTCTTCCTCTAGCTTAATTCCCAGTAAATAACCATATAGTTTTTTAATCACCTTTTCATCAGTACCTGTCAAAATCTTATCTAAGTCAGTCTGTTTATCATAAAATCCCTCTGTTTTAGAATCTTCATCATACCTTGAGTGTATTTGCACATATGAAAACCAGTTCATCTTTAAACCTTGTTCCTCTAGATCTTGTAGCGATTTAAGTTCACCCTTTTCATCTAGTAATTCCCCATATCTAACTGTTTGTCCCTTCTTATAGATTATAGGGTAGGAAAATGCTTCTATAGTCGATAACCAAACTGGAATTTTCAGATAACATTGTTTTTTATCTTCTCCCAGTTTAACCACAAAGACTCCCGTATATAATGTCTTCTAAAGTAACCCTGCGTTTTAGTTCCCTTATACCATAAAAAAGCATGCCAACCCAACAACAAATCATGACCTTCTAGTGTCAACAGCCTAGTCTTTCTTAGTGTTATCCATTCCTTAACCCACATCAAATTTGCAGCTTGGTAGTACAACTCCCAATTAGGCAGGCCAAAACCTCCTCTAATTCTAGCATCTTGCAAGAGCTTTAGCTTTATCCTCGCTTTCTTACCTTGCCATATATACTTCAACACAATTTTATTTAAGTCCTCAAAATAGTCTTTTCTGAGCCTAATTGGTATTGTTTGAAACAAAAATAAGATTCTGGGTAGAATATTCATCTTGATTGTTGAAATTCTCCCTATTAATGACAGTTGTAAGTTTTCCCATTTCTTCAAATCTAAGGCAATCTGTTGTTTAAGTTTAATATAATTATTCTCTTTTAATGTACTACATCTTGATGTCAAGTATATCCCCAAATACTTAACCTTGTTCGTAAGTTGGATTTTCAACAGGTCTGCCAGTTCTTCTCTTTGTCTTAGTAACATGTTCTTTGACAAGATCTTTGTTTTATCTTTATTTATTTTCAGACCAGCCACCTCACCATATGTCTCTATCTTTTCCAATAGCTTCGGAGCTGTTTCTAAAGGATCTTCCAAAATAAAGGCTAAGTCATCCGCAAAGGCTTGCAATTTGAATTCTTCCTTTTTAATTTTCATTCCTTTTATACTTTTATCTTCTCTAATATTTCTGTTCAACACCTCCAAAGTCAATACAAATAGCAAAGGAGATTGGGGACATCCTTGTCTTGTGCCTTTTCTTATATTAATAGAGTCTGTAAGTTCTCCCTCCATTACCTTTGCTGTTTGCTCATGATAAATAGCTTCTATTGCTTGGATAAATCTTCTAGCAAAACCCATCTGTTCCAATAGAAGTAACATAAATCTCCAGTTCACATTGTCAAATGCCTTTTGGGCATCTAGGAATATCAAAGCCATTTGTTTTTCAGGATGTGCCTCATAGTATTCCAAAGTATCCACAATTACTCTCATATTGTCTCTAATTTGTCTCTTTGGCAAAAATCCATTTTGATCTGGATGAATAAAATTATTCAGATATTTTTTAAGTCTTTCTGCTAAAATTGAAGCAAAGATTTTATAGTCTGCATTTAATAAAGAAATCGGTCTATAGTTCTTAATTTGCAATGGATCAGCCTCTTCTTTTGGAATAAGTGTAATATAAGCCTCTGACCATGTTTTAGGTATCATCTTCTTTGACATAGCTTCATTCATGACTTCTAACAATGGAGTGCTCAATGATTCTTGTAATATTTTGTAGAATTCTGCCGGGAGCCCATCTGGACCTGGTGCTTTCCCATTATTTTGTTTCTTAAGTGCTTTACTTAATTCCATCATTGTTATATTACTTTCTAGCATTTCTTCAGTCTCTTTGGATATCTTAGGTAGGTTAGCATTCTGTAAGTACTGTTTGACTTTTTCCTCATCAATATTCTCTTTCTTGTATAGTTGTCCATAGAAATCTCGAATAATTTCCTTTTTCTCCTTATTACCATAACAAACTTGGCCTTGGTCGTCTGTTACCTGTGATATTTTCCTTGACTCTTTCTCTTTTCTCAATTTATATGCTAGCCATCTACCTGGTTTATTTGCATCTTCAAAATAATTCTGTTTAGCATTTCTAATTTTCTGTGCCAGTTCTTCTTTCTCTATTAAACCCATTTTATGTTTAGTTATGTCCAATTTCAATTTAATATCTTTTTTCTATGGCATTTTCTGTAATTCTTTTTCAAGTCTTTTATACTCATCTTCCAAGGCTTTAGTGGCTTGTCTTTTCCTAATATTCTTTTTTCTTATGTAGTCTATTATCAAGCCTCTAGCATATTCCTTCATTGTATCCCAAACATTCTGCATTGAAGTATCTTCTTTTTTATTTTCTTTAAAGAAAAAAGCCAGTTCTTTCTCAACCCATTGTATAAAATCTTTCTCCTTTAAAATAGTATTATTTAACGTCCATCTCGAGAGGGGAGGAGCTGGCGTTGCGACGGTACGGTTTGCAATTGAGCTCTAAGATTGCAGCCGATATCTTCGCCCCTGGCCGGTCCAAACGGAACTAAACCATCCCGTAGGGAAGGTTATCATGAGGGGTACACCCTGTGGATCCAAGGGACACCGCAAAGTCCCTGGTTGACCCAGGAGAAGTCCCTTGTGCCCGCGGCGGAGAGGCAGCCCCAAAGCTGCTGAAGTCGGGGCAGCTCCGGAAAGGAAGAGGCTGAAAGAGAAAGTGTGTCGGCTGGGTGAGAAACTTTTTTTTTTTTTAACATTTTGAGGCTTGAAAGGACACTCTGATTATA